CCCCAAACACTAGAATTGGTCCTCCTAATGGTCAGCGTACCTCTGTCTATTTCACTAGGCTGGTCACCTTGAAGGTACTGACTGCATCTGCATTTACAGTTCCCAGCACAGGGCTCAATAAATACTTTTAAATTGATGAATATAAGAAATCCATGAGCTGTGAACAGGTAAACATGGGGGAAGAGAAGTTTGGGGATGGCTGGGGTGTGTGTGAGAAAGGGATATTTAAAACTTGAGTATTTAGGATACGATTCCCTTTCCCTTCCTCCTATGGAGGCAGCCAGGGCTGGAGGGGCCGAGGAGGCATTGATGTCAGGGTCAGAAATTGGTTACATACAGGAGAAATGAGCAATTGTATTGAGGATAAAGGGAAACAGCCTTGTCACTATCCGAGAATAGTTACAAATATGGATAGGACAGATGCTGGAATGAACCCAGTAGTGTTGAACTGGAATCGGAGATACTCATGGTCTTTAACAGATGATCAGATATACATATGTGTGTATATATAAATATACATTTACATGTATTTTCTGTGTTGAGAGGGCCTTTATTTATTAATATTATTATTTTTTCGGCCGTGCTGCACAGCTTGCAAGATCTGTTCCCCGAACAGGGATTGAACACAGGCCATGGCAGTGAAAGCCCAGAATCCTAACCACTAGGCCACCAGGGAAGTCCTGAGAGAGCCTTTAAACCATAATGCTCAAGTAGCAGTGATTATACCTTGTGCCTATATTTTGGTAATTGTACCAAATACCATTCTCTATTAAAAGGAATCAAGGCTCCTTAGAGAAACAGCTGATCGCAGGGCTTGGGGCAAGGAAAGTATGAATCTGGGACATCTTATGCCAGAAAGTAAAACAATGCTCAAAAAATGATAGATTTGCCAAAAGGACACAGCAGCCAGCTTGGAGGGACTCTCACTATCCATATCTGAGATGTGAATATCAAAAAAAAAAAAAAAAAGTCATGGTTATGAATAAAAACCCACTGACTAAAATAGGAGTCCACAAGTCCACAATGATCAAATAAATGGTGGAGAAGGGAAAGTTCTTCTTTACACTAGAATGCCAATTAATAGGTGTAGAAGGAATAAGGGAAGTAGAGAGTCACCATTGGGTAGTCACCATAACACTAGCAGGCAAGAAAGAGCAACAGATATGAAAATCACTGGGGGAAAGTTTGATGAAAAACCAGGATAGTTATAGTCTCAAAGTACTTCCACACAAAATATTTTACCAATTTCAAAGGGAAAACGCTAACTATGCATTGGAGAAACACAGCAGACATCTCCTTAACCAAAGGATCAAGGGTCACCGGTAACAGGACGAAGTGGTACCATGTGCCTCCTGCGATGAGATGCTGAGAACACAACACCACTTCTGTGGTATTTCTGCCCAAAATGCATAACCTGAATTTAGTAACGAGGAAGTATCAGTCAAAGCTAAATTGAAGGACATTTTTCAAAATAACTGGCTAGTACATCTCAAAACTATGAGGATCACAAAAGACAAGGAAAGACTGGGGGATTTCCAGATCGAGGGAGACTAAAGACACATAATGAGTAAGTGTAACACATAATCCTGGATAGAATCCTGGGCCAGAAGGAAATTTTTCCCCCTCTTGCTAAAAGAGCCTTACTGGCACCACGGGCAAAATATGAACGGGGTCTGTACACTAGGTGGGATAGTTTTGTATCAAGGTTAATTTCTTGATTTTGAATAGCTGCAATGTGGTCATGTAGAAATGTCCTTGTCTTTAGGAAATTTACACTGAAGCACTTAAGAGTAATGGGGTATCATGTCTATATCTTATTCTCAGATGGTTCAGAAAAAATGTGACACATACAAATATACACAGACACATACATACATACAAGCGAGTGGGAGGGATGGTAAAACTAATGTGGTTAAATAACAACTGAGGAGCCTGGGTGAGAAATATATGGGAGTTCTTTGGGCTATTCTTGCAACTTTTCTCTAAGTGTGAAATAATTTTTTAAATACTGAAAAGAAAAGTGAGTGTTTAAAGCCTGAGTCATGCATGAAAGGCTTTTATTTTTTGCCTGTCTACCCACCCCCGCCACCTTGCTCCAAAAACAATTTAGAGTCTTATGAATATGTAAAAAAAAAAAACACAAGATACAATAAATCCAAAACAAGTAAGAAGTATGTGTAGCCTTGGCAAGAACCTTGTAAACTGTCAAATTCTACAAAATGCTCTTGAAAATTTGACAGATTATGTGGAGAGGTTTCTCTTTGTTTTGGGAAACAACCCAAACTTCAAAACAGCTATTAGTTCTTTTGTGTTCCCCATATCCTTTTATTCAAAACTTGACTGCAATTAGACACAGAGAATGCAATACTGGGATATGGACAGGCTTAAAAATTTTACAGAATTTTATGCATGTGTACACACTTTATTAAATTTGCATTCTAAGATATACACAAGGTCAGCAGTTCACAAAACTTATTATTCCAAAAGCAGTTATCATGAAACACAGTGATTATATGTCAGTCAAGCAAAAAGAGCATCTATTAAATTTTCTTATCATATCATCTCTTATACTTGTTTTCAAATAGAAGCCTGAAATATGATATCATATTAGAATAGGAAGAGAGAACTTTATAACGATCACTTTTCAAATATTAGACTTTATATAAAAATAAAGGAGTACTGTCAACAAAGCTCACCTGAAGGTTAGCATCTCTATCTTTTATGTAATCCGAAACAACCCCTGCACAAACTTAACTTTCTAGTCACTTTAAACAATAAAAATGAACCTTGGCTTAAACAGTAAAGTCAGTTACCTTGCCTCCTAGTTCTCATAACAGAGGAACAACTGCATTTTCCTCTCCCAATTCTACCCCACCGCTGAATTTCAAAAATAAATTTAAATATCATTACATTCTAAAGGTTATGTCTTAAGAGTCCTAAATTAGAGCCAACAAATGATGGCCAAAAGTGTCCCTTTAAGGCAAAGAAGACAGTAGAGAGCTGGTGGATAAATACCCTATAGGAGAAAACCATCTCTCAGTATTATATAGGCAGAGACTTTTAACATGGTTCTTTCACAAACAGAATAAATACACTGCATACCACTGATGTAATTTTTCTTTAAAATGACATACTAGAGAACTATCTTCATAGTATATACATTCATGTTAGGTTTGAAGGATTATGGACTTCGCACAGGTGAAAGCCAATATGAGAAATAAAGCCACTAATGGCCATTATGGCAGTTATCACAATTTAAAATAAACAACACAGCTGATGCTACAACAGAACTACTTACTGCAAGCTAAGTGATGCTCTCTTATAATTCAGAGAGAATAGGTTTCCCTTCAAGCCCTACAGTATTACTAGTCTGTGGGTACCCTCAAAGCACATCATCTTCCTTTAAAATTCAACAACCTTTGCCTTTCAAAAGACACAAATGCAGTAGTTTTCATTTCTTACATTCATTTAAAAATGGAATATTATGGTCCTAGCAGGCAAATTTGCATGTTAAATACAGACAATCCAACCACGATGTCTGAACATTAAAAGAGATCTATCACAACAGACATTTTGCACACAGTTTTAAATAATAAATAACATGGCAATAGATTACACTCAGGTTTTTAAAATAGCTCTATCGGGATTTTCCTCTTTTAAATGTTAAATAACTTATGGTACCGCAGACTTACTATCATGTACACTGTTGACAGCTCAAACAGCTTCTTAAAAGCAGAATGCACAATGACATTGACTTTGGCAGCTCCTAAAAGCTTCCTCGTAGATATTAAACTGCGCTTCCCATAAGGCAGCACGTTTAAGAACTGGACTCTGATTCTGGGGGCAACACAATAACCAAAATACAGTCGACAACACCACTCACCACACAACAAAACAAACAACTCCAATGACGAAAAAGTAATCAGAAAGAAGCAGCAATCAAAACGGTATGTGGCAATCAGACACATAAAGCCCCTTTTCTATCCTACCTTATGATATACATCTTTACAGCATGACACTGAACCCCAAGGCCCCTCAGGCCTCATTACACCACCCAAGACAAGCTCTCAAGCTCCGTGTACACTTTTCTACACAGTGGTTTGTGTGTAAATAACATTATTCATTCATTTGTAGATGCTCCACACATCTGGTCAAGGCAGGAATTTCTTCTCCTTGATAACACCACCTAGAAACATTAACAATATTTTATATATTCCTTAGGGCAACAGGTTTGAGGAGAACAATATCAATTGGGGTAGCTTAGTCATAAGAAGCTGTGGTGACTAACCCCGGCACCCTGTTAAGTCCGTTTACATTCTCAGCACTAAAATCAATCCTTGCATCCTACACTCCAACAGCAAAGAAGCAATATGCACAGTAATGAAAGCAACGACATGATTTTTCCCCTTTGTGAGAAATGGCAAAGAAGCGGCTCAAACAGGAAAGGGAAACAAAATAATGTACTTTAAGCTGATGCAGGAAAATAAAAATTTATATCAAAAGCAACTCATCTAATATTGTGAGATAAAGAGATTTGAGACTTACGTAGTCAACAGAGAACAACAACAACAAAAATCTCTCAAGCAAGAGAATTTCTGATCAACTCTATCTGTCATGACACTGCTGGGAAAAAGAACCATTGTTGAAAATACATACTAGTGCTTTCCTTAAATGTATAGACTCTAAAATAGGTGCTCTTTGAAGCACTGAGAGAAAAAAAATTAAAAAAAAAAATATATATATATATGTACTCTAAGCAATCAAAAATGAGTATTTGAGATTTCATTACTAGTTCAAAATGATATCAGCAAAAAGAGACCTAAGTAAGGTTACTACACTCATAAAATCAAACTTTAGAGAAGTGCCAAAAAAGAATGGCATCAAAATGGTTTAGATCAGTAACACTTTAATCCTCATTACGGATCAAAGTTCCCTGTGTTCCTCCCTGAATGTTTTCTGCAGGAAACAGCAGTTAGAACACTGAATCAGAAATGGGTAAGTCACTTGGGTGAGAGATCATCCATCAAGATGAACGGAGAGCATGAATTGGAGCATGCTACTGGAGCCTCTGCGGTTGTGCTGCCTTTAGCCAGTGAGTCTGAGGACAAGCCACTGCGGCTACTACTGCCATCCAAAATATCTGAACTGAGGACAAAGCAAAAAGAATTATAAGCAGATGCATCTATCAGGGTAAAGGCAAACATAACATGCAATGACATGGTTTCAAGAACTCACGGATCAGTACAGCATTGGTAAATCATAAAAAGCATAAAAGCAACAGCAAAACTAGAGAATGTACTATATTCAGATACCTGGGAGAGGACAATGTCAGAGAAATCCCAAGTTAAGACACGCAAGGTTCTGTATCATTTGGGTGCTCTCCTAGAGGCACCAGAAGGTCCAACATCCCAGTAAGTGTTCCTCTTGACATGTCATGGTTTCCGTGAGGGAGTTCCCCTACGTTCTGCTCAAGCGATTTCTACCCTTATATTTCTCTTCTTTAAAAAATTGTTTTTATTTTTATACTTCTCTTCTTACCTTCAGCCTTCGAGTAAGAGGAGTGGCTACTCGTTGAGGTACCCTGGACTGTCGGAAGTATTCTAGCAAGTATACTGCTTCATGGTCCTTCCATTCCAGAACAGTCTTTCAACTGCTCTAGATTTTATCACTTCCCCACTCCCAAGAGGCCTTCGACTCAAATACACATTTTTTTTCTAATTTCCTCCATTATTTGCCTTTTATGTTCTTCTCATTTTATGAATTTCTTAGACTATTTCCTTTCCTACTGCTTTCAAAACTCAAAGGTCTCCCTCCTATTTCTAAAAGACTTGTTTCTTTGATCCCTTCAGTTAACTTCCAGTCAAGCTTCTAATAGGAATGCTCTATATCCACAGACCCAATACCCTCACAGCCCATTTGCCTCTTGAATCCTGACAACTGGCTTCTGCTCCTGTCCTTCCACTAAGACTCCTGATCTGGTCATCAAGAGCCTCTAGAACCCAGCCTGGGGATACCTGACCCATCCAGCCCAGGCTCCCAGGGCTCCCAACAATCAAGCCAGCCTGCCTCATGAATCTGGCTACAGACTTTAGCGTTCACAATTGCCAGCCTTCACAATGTGACATGAGGCTGCCTTCCTGGCTACGATACCCATCAATACAACATGTAAGCTCTGTGCTGTATACTTGGCCCGAATTCACTCATTCAGTCATTTCATTTCTTCTAATATTTACTGAGTACCTGCCAAGTGCAGAATGTATGCCAGATATTAGAAAATACAATGGTACAGAAGACAGACATGATCCCTGCCCTCATCTAATTTACAGTATAGTATAGGAGACAGTTATATAATCATGCTAATAGATATATAATTATAATTTGTGATCAAAGCAGTAAAGATATAAGGGACTCTGAGAGTATATAACATGGGTGACCTGATCTAATTTGGAGGAATATGGAGGAACAAGCCTCCCCCAAAGTGATATTTGAGCAGTTGTCTGAAAGATGAGTAGGCCTTAACTGGGTAAAGCTTGGGAAGAAGCAAGGGTATTTCTAGGAGCCAAAACCAGGCTAGGATGGCTATAGCACAGGGAGCAAGGAGAACATGATGAGAGAAAGCTGGCGAGGGAGTCAGGCAGTTTTAGGATCTACACAGACATACTTTTTTTATTTTTGAAAAGGAAACAAACCATAGAATTGGAGAATGACTTGTGAATCAGCAAATAGAGGTTCTAGTTTAAGTTTGATCACTAGCTCCTTTGCAAAAGCCCATCCTGGTCTAAACTGCCCTGAAACTCAATATTATGTCTTTAATATTATCGTTTTTATGAATTTCCAAGTTAATATATTTCCACTGTTAAGCAACCTATGATACATTTGGAAATTTCTGGGCTCTGTACCACCCTTAATAAAATGTAACTTCCCCCAACCCAGCTTCTCTACTCTTATATTTCTTCAAAATGTCATTTCTTTCTTTTGCCTGTGGATTGTTTTCAGATGGAAACAGAATACAAATAGACTTTGGAAAAGTAAAAATATCGGGTTGGCCAAAATGTTCGTTTGTTTTTTTCCAGAAGATGGCTCTAGTAGCGCTTACTCATCTTTAACTTCATTCGAAACAATTTTGTTAGACTGTGTTGTGACAGCTGTCGTATCAGCATGCATTTAAAAAATATCAAAATTGGTGAATTTTTGTGTAGCCATTTTAATATTGAAGATGGAAGAAAATAGCAACATTTTCGGCATATTATGCTTTATTATGTCAAGAAAGGTTAAAAACACAACTGAAACACACAAAAAAAGATTTGTGCAGTGTATAGAGAAGGTGCTGTGACTGACCAAATGTGTCAAAAGTGGTTTGCAAAGTTTTGTGCTGGAGATTTCTCGCTGGCCGATGCTCCACAGTCGTGTAGACCAGTTGATGTTCATAGTGATCAAATCAAGACATTAATTGAGAACAATTAATGTTATACCACGTGGGAGATAGCCGACATACTCAAAATATCCAAATCAAGCGTTGAAAATCATTTGCACCAGCTTGGTTACATTCATCACTTTGATGTTTGGGTTCCACGTAAGTTAAGCAAAAAAAAAAAAAAAAAAAACTATTTCTGCATGCGATTCTCTATTTAAACGTTCTGTTTTTAAAACAAATTGTGTCGGGCAATGAAAAGTGGGTACTGTACAATAATGTGGAACAGAAGAGATCGTGGGGCAAGCGAATGAACCACCACTAACCACTCCAAAGGCCAATCTCCATCCAAAGAAGGTGATGGTGTGCATATGGTGGGATTGGAAGGGAGTCCTCTATCATCAGCTCCTTCTGGAAAACCAAACGATTAATTCCAACAAGTACCGCTCCCAATTAGACCAACTGAAAGCAGCACTTGACAAAAAGTGTCCAGAATCAGTCAACAGAAAACGCATAATCTTCCATCAGGATAACGCGAGACAGCGTGTTTCTTGGACGACCAGGTAAAAACTGTTACAGCTTGGCTGGGAAGTTCTGATTCATCTGCCATATTCACCAGACATTGCACCTTCGGAGTTCCATTGATTTCTGTCTTTACAAAATTCTCTTAATGGAAAAAATTTCAATTTCCTGGAAGACTGTAAAAGGCACCTGGAACAGTGCTTTGCACAAAAAGATAAAAAGTTTTGGGTAAATGAAATTATGAAGTTGCCTGAAAAATGGCAGAAGGTAGTGGAACAAAACAGTGAATACGCTGTTCAATAATGTTCTTGGTGAAAATGAAAAATGTGTCTTTTAGTTTTACTTAAAAACCGAAGGAACATTTTGGCCAACCTAATAAAAATGGAAACAGTATATTCCACAATCCTCCCACTCTATACTTTCTGCTGTCAAATGCATCATTAATAATACCACTTTTAAGTAAGAAGTTTGGAAAATTTAGCTGGCTCTGGTATTTTTTCAACCAAATGGCAAAATGGGTCTAAAATATGAATTATTCAAAGTACTGAAAGAAAGTTGCACAGATTATCTAAGACGTTGGAAAATCAAAAGACCTTTATATTTGCCTTTGGAACATATGTGATTTTCCTCCTGCAGCATTTTGCCTAGACTAATACTAAAATGAATTTACTTCCCTAAAGCACATATTGGCTGGGAAGCTGAAGGACACGCTCTCTGCTACTTGGCAGGAAGAAACAGGCTTAGATTAAAATTTGGCCACCAAGCAGATAATCTGAATATAAATACACTTTCTAATTCCAACCAGACTTATGGTGAGCCCTGGGTTAAAAGATTCCATTTGCCATAAAACCTGCTTGCTTAGGTGAATCCTGTATTCATTCAAAAACATAGAACGTGACTCGCCGTGAAATCTGTCGTCTAATGCTGTTGATTACCTTAAAGAAATAAGCTAATGGGGAAGTTACCAAGAAAATAAATGAGTCTGAACATTTCACTTCATATATTTTTTTCAAGAATATATTTTTTTCAAGAATTTCTTCTCAGTTATTAACTGTAAACATATATAATTGTGTTTCATTGACAGAAAAATAGCATACTTGCATTTAGTCTCCAGTGCAATTTAAATTCAGAGCCTGGTAAACCTTTAACCAGGTATTTTCGCTAAACTAAAATCTAGTTTCTGTTCTAATTAATCTGGCACTACTATACTTGGTCCTGGAAGCAGTGACTACAGGTCACAAATTACCCGCTGTTAATATACCCACAAGCAAGACTTAACGTGATTTTGTAATTCCAGAGAGATCACTGTACAAAAGTGATTTTCACTGTGTCTGCTATTAAACCTTCTACCAAGGCTTCTAAAAGCAACAAAGCGTGGTCCAATTTAAGTTTCTCTCTTTTTTTCTTTCCTAGTTTAAGCTCTGATGGAGGTGCTAATGAGCCTTAGACTAGTGGCCCAAAGTCAAACAACGGCAGGAAAGCAAAGGACCTAGACAATTCAAATTGGGCACAGGAGTACGTGAAACAAAAGTAAACTAATTCATTTCAGCCACTGACTATACCAATTGAGGCAGTATTTGAACCACACCACCGAAAATACTTATGACAGCTAAAGTAGTGCCCTCTGTCTAAAAAAACTAAGGGAGAAAGTATATGGGAATCATTAAAACATTCAGTGATAAAGTAACAACAAAATTAGGTTGTCCAGTGTGACTCATGCTATCACCCATCTGGTGGAGCCACTCTTGTGCCTTGTCCAGTCAGTAAATTGGGTTCTATCAGATAAACGCCAGGCAGGTAAATGCGCTAGAAATCAGCCGCAGTCCTATCAGCCCCAGCACAGATTTTAGTATAAGGTAAGACTACAGGGCATCCCCCTACCCCTTGGTGTGGGTTAAACTGGTCCATAGGGTTTGTTCTCTACTCTCTACTATCTTACCTTACAAAGACCCAGCATTATCTTGCTGTATAACCTCTAGGTTTTTAAGATCACACAGTTAAACATGATCAGTTCCACTGTCACTTTGGGGATAGGAGTTTTAAAGTATCAGCACGTAGGGATGTAACGTACAACATGATCAAGATAATGAACATGGCTATATGTTATAAATGAAAGCTGTTAAGAAAGTCAAATCCTAAGAGGTCTCATCACAAGGAAAAAATTCTTTTTCTATTTCTTTAATTTGGTATCTACATGAGATGATGGATGTTCACTAAACTTATTGTGGCAGTCATTTCATGATGTACGTGAGTCACATCATTATGCTGCACACCTTGAACTTATACAGTGTTGTATGTCAACTATACTCAGTAAAATTGGAAGAAAAAAAAATTTAATTAAAAATACTACTCTTTAATCACCAGAAGAAAAAGTATCAGCACAGAAGTCTAAGCTGCTCACATAAACATCTTCAAGTATATGTGAACGAACATTTCTGTCATAATAAATAATGATTACCTTATTCTTTGTACATGTAACATACTCATGATAAAATTTTCTTGCCGTGACACATACGTTAAGAATAATGTTAAAAATCACTAAGATAAATCTAGTGAAAAATGTTAAAATAATACCATAAAGGTTAAGTCAGCAGTCCTGTTAACACTAAGGCACTGGGCAGGAAATTTCATGGAACTTTTTCCTTTTCTGTAGGAGAAATAGACTATCACTTAATCTTCACTACGTGGCTAGCAGCCCTGAAAACTCCTTTATTTTATATGCCACAGATAGCCTTATTCCCAAAAGAATGAGGAGCAGAACAAGAGTTCCCAGCATGAAGAAAAGAATGAAAGCGCCATGTAAAGGTGTACTTCCGAGCTATGGTCAAACTCCTGATGTTCATAAGGACTAAATGCAGAATGACGCAATTCCTACCTTGTGGTTAACAAAGGTCCCCAGATTTGCTTGGCAAAGATTGAAGAATTTTTAGTAAAAAATAGGTTTACAGGGCTTCCCTGGTGGCACGGGTTCGAGCCCTGGTCCAGGAGGATCCCACAAGCCGTGGAGCAACTAAGCCCGTGCGCCACAACTACTGGGCCTGCACTCTAGAGCCCACGCGCCTAGAGCCCGTGCTCCACAACGAGAGAGGTCGCCGCAATGAGAAGCCCGTGCACCATGATGAAGAGTAGCCCCCGCTCGCCACAACTGGAGAAAGCCAGCGCACAGCAATGAAGACCCAATAAAGCCAAAAATAAATAAATAAAATAAACAAATTTAAAAAACAAAGATTCAATCACTAAAAAAAAAAAGGAAATAGGTTTATGAAAAGGAGGCCTACTATTCCTTTGCGTAGCAGTCGGCACACTGGACACAAACTCCATATGGGTCAATACTCAAACTTCACATTTATTGATAATTTATACTTCAAAGATGCAAGCTTTTCAAGATCATTATCTAGTATATAAACTTTAAAGTTTTAAAACCCATCTCTTCTTTATGGAGTGGGGCAGGGAACAAACTATAATGATTGAAATGATGAGATAATACCTACTGATGATCTGATACCTTTTCTCTCCCTAAAATGTATAAAAATGGTTTCCTTAGTTATAGAGTAGATTGTTATCCTTGGCAACAGGTAGCTCCTGTCTCTGTCCCCATTTCTAAGAATATGGATCTCTGATCAATGAAGCTGGTTTTGATAGGAAAAAAAAGTTTCTGCAAAAGCAGAATCCAATTTTACATATCATGAATAACTCATATTTAAATTCTGTTAATTGTAAAACATAAATGTCAGCAATCTTAGTACACAAGGTGTTCCAAGAGTCTTACTGCGATTGTCAGCTTTAACAGCCTCAGAAGTCCAGATGCTCCAAACTTACTAAAAACATCACTTGAGAGTTTAATCACCTAAATATCTTTGATACTCAGTTTTGTGAATTTTGAGTAGTAAGTTTCTTTTTAATATATTACTTGAGCCATAATGTTGGCTTGTTAGCACTCTATGAGCAGCCATGAATAAAGCAAATCTCTCCAGTGTGAGGCGACACTTTTTGTGTTTACAGATCAGAAGTGCCCTTCATCCCCAATGTTGATGTTCCCAGGGCTCCCACAGCCAGTCACATGTCTACAGAGAATGGAGGTGGTGGCAATAGAAATAGAAGCCTCATGGGAGTTCCCTGGTGGCCTAGTGGTTAGAATTCTGGGCTTTCACTGCCGTGGCCTGGGTTCAACCCCTGGTCAGGGAACTGAGATTCTGTAAGCCATGTGGCACGGCCAAAAAAAAAAAAGAAGCCTCACAACAGCCACCATCACAGACAGCTTAGGTTGTGCTGCTCAGAGGAATAAACGTCTGAACAAGGGGAGAGGGCCCTGGGTAAATGCCATATATTCTCTGTCCTTCCTTACTTATTAGTGTGAACCTGTTTCATAGCGTCAAGCACAGTCAGCCTACAGCAATATTTTTTTAAAAAATCACCTCACCCTGTATGTTTTTAGCTTGGCGAATGCTTTCATATCACTTAACATGAACTTGGTTACTTGGTTAGTAACTGTGTAAGGAAATCTATTTATAATGTCACGTGCCTATATTAAAACACACTTTACCATAGAAGTGATATGCAGTTTCCACTCAGTATAGAGTTTCACCCACTAGTCCTCTTGACAAGCTTTAGAAGTTTTCTCTTTGCAATCATCTACATACCTGGAAAGGCATTCTGTACCAAATTTAGCACATTGAGCTAACAAGGACAGACAGGGATGAGAGAGAAGAGAGAGTGTGGGGCTGAAAATAGCCAGAACTATCTAAAAGGCATCTGTTCCAAGGTTAGAATGGTACTGATCAACGAGTCTAATGAGCGAGAATAATCTGTGACTTCTTGGGTCAACTAGAAGTAGAGGTTACCTTGGAAAAACAATGAATAAGTGATTTGGAAAGAAGGAATCGTCAGTCTGTATAACTTATAAGTGGCTTACAGGATTCTTCCATTTAGAGAGCACCATCTTTTTTATTTTAAAGTGAACGCCCTCTGGGGTTCTTAAAAAAAAAAAAGAACCTTAGCCATAAAATTCAGGGAACAAAAAGTTCTGCAAGGCACTAAACAATTGCATCCAGAACATGGGTGCTCAATAAGTTGACTGAAACGTACTGAAAGATTTCAAAATATCACCTGGCCACTGCTATTATCCCTTTCTCTTCCTTCCTATAAGTACGTTGGCATCCAAGTACTCAACTCATCCAAGTACTCAAATTTGGGTACAGGAAAAGAAGTTAACTTTCGCACAAAAACATGAAAGGGCCTTAAGTTAGACATCTAAACTCGGATGAGTAAGACTAAAAGACTAAAAAAAAGTTATGTAAACAGACGACAGGAATCTGCAAGTGTTACTATTTAAACGAAACCTTAGTTACTATTGTGATGAAACACCCCAAAATTTTCAAAAAGATTTTATAAAAACAGATAGTGCTATTTAGAAAATGCCATGCTTAAGAGAATGCTGGTGTTCTCTGCTAAGTTAAAAGGATATAATACAAAATGCAGGCAGAGCAGCTACAATCAAGGCATATTACCCAGGGCAACCCAGAAGCTCCTTCTCATGCCATCCAGCTGTTGACACTCTCCCACACTATTAGCACCTATTGAGAGGCTGACCTAACAGGAGCTAGGCATGAAGGTGAAGGTGCCAAAAAGATACACGCACTTCCAAAGGAAGTCCTGGTGACTTTCAAACGATCTGGTTTCTCACACTGTCTACATCTCCATGGAGATTTCACCTCTAGGGAGCACGGATAAAAAGTTGAATGTGTTTTAAATGATCCCAATATACTTTTGCTGCGGTTCTTTTCAAATACATCATTCCCTAGTATCCTTTGGATTTTATTTCATTTTTTACCATGAACTGAGATCAGACAATTGTGCAGCCTCTGGAGACAGCATAGTGGTAGTGCCTTGGAAGAGCCTCTTGGGCTGGCTTTCGGTCTCCATTTCACCTAAAACAGAAAGGGATAATGCTACCATAAAGCAATTTTACAGATACAGGCTTGCTGCTAAAATGGGGTGATCTTTGTCTAACCAAAGATCGGAATACTTCAAACTGTTACTTGAAAGCTATTTTCCCATGTGCTTTAATGTAGAAGAAATATACTGCCACATAAACTCAACTAGAAAGTCAGCAGCCGGGGCTTCCCTGGTGGCGCAGTGGTTGAGAGTCCGCCTGCCGATGCAGGGGACACGGGTTCGTGCCCCGGTCCGGGAAGACCCCACATGCCGCGGAGCGGCTGGGCCCGTGAGCCATGGCCGCTGAGCCTGCGCGTCCGGAGCCTGTGCTCCGCAACGGGAGAGGCCACAACAGTGAGAGGCCTGAGTACCGCAAAAAAAAAAAAAAAATTAGCAGCCCTAAAAATACCTTCTCATTTACTGTATGTAGTATGCTGCCCATATAGTCAGGTTCTTTAATAGAAAAGTAGAACACTGATTGCATTAGGCAAAATGAATCAAGACTAATAACCACAGCAGAAATAAAGTATCCCCCAAGAGCTGAAGCTCACGGTGAATAATAATTTATGCTAGATGATTAGTAAAGACTCTTGATTTTATATATTTTAATGTCAGAACATTTCCTGAGTTGAAGTCAAATGGATTCAAAGGCATGCAGTGTGATAAAGAGCATATAAATTAAAGGTTGTTTTAGGCTACTTAGTGAAAATGAAGATTAGAAAATATAAGTTTGAAAGCACATCTGTAACTGAAAGCAATTATTAATTAATTCACAAAATTGATGTTGTACTGGCTACTTCAATCCTACAGATTTTCTCAGAACTGGGAATCGAAAAACTTTGCATCAGAAGAAATAATGCTTAACATTTTGCCACTGGGAGTGCAAAGACTAACAACCCTAAATTAGACAGAAAAGCCCCTTTCCAAATAAGCTATGATTTAAAACATGCACATACCTTGGTTTCAAAGCTCTTTATCTGAGCTTTAAAATTGAACGTTAAAGACAATTTAATTCATGGGCCTATCTACACTCCATTAAGAAATTAGCAACCATGAACTTAAACCTCTACAAGATTCTTATGATGGAAAAAGATCAAGGAAGAACAAATGCAACATTCATTTTTCCCCATATTATTAATTAATTCATATTATCTTTCCTCTGGAGCTATTCTGAAAATTACTGAAATTCAGGAAAGGTTATGTTTTCATTTGCTTTTTTCCATGCTTTAACATGCGGCTTTTCAAAGCTGCTGCCGGGCTTTCAACACCTCATTAGCAAAAGACTTTAGCCCTTTTTAGCAAGGAATCCCTCCATCTGCTGGTATATTTTGGAATAGCTTTGAAACTGAACAACCATATTACATTCCATCAACTTCCTGCAACATATTTAAAATTAATACTAATAACTATACTAGCTTTAATTTCCAAGCTTTATTTTCACATAATAGCTCCTGAGAAGGTTCTTCGGATTGTAAATAATTCCTTGCAGCGTTAAGGAAAAAGACTATTAGTTTATAAAATAAAATTTATTCACTAAATACAAATATTGTCACTATATCAGCATCTATTCCCCACAGCACACCATCTTTCATTTTAAGTTGTCTGAAATATAGCACTTTTTGAATCTGTGTATGATGCTATACCACTGGAAAGTCTTCGCCAAAGCTGCAAGTATCCGTTTACCTAACATTAGAAGAGTTGATCTGTTTACTAGCTCCAGAGGTGATCTGCACAAAAAAAAACACTTACTGAATTGCTTTTTTAAAATGATCATTAAAACTCTCATTTAAAATGATATCCAGCACTTGTAATCATGTGGTCATATCCCCAGGAATAATGACTAAACCCGTGTTAAATTTCTTTGCCTTTTTTTTTAATAGACTCCATTGGGTGCCCTCTATAAGCATCTAAAACTAGCACTGAGTGAGAGCATTTTCGTTCAGTGCTTTGTGGTTTAAAATAAGGTAATTAAGAGAGCACCCCTTGGGAGTTTGGGGTTACTAGATGCAAACTATTACACATAGAATGGATAAACAACAAGGTCCTACTGTAGAGCACAGGGAACTATATTCAATATCCTGGGATGAATCATAATGGAAAAGAATATAAAAAAAGAATGTCTGTCTGTGTGTAACTGAGTCACTTTGCTGTACAGCAGAGACTGGCACAGCATTGTAAATCAACTCGACTTCAATAAAAACATTAATTTAAAAAAAATAAAGTGTATTTCTTATAAACCACACACACAAAAAAGAGTACCCTATCATATCAAAAACCCTATAGAGACTCAAATGGGAGGCATCATTTGGTGGTGACTTATATTTGAGCATACAGCATGTGTATGGACTTATTTGCTATGACATTAACACATATTTCTGCAATGTATCAACTTACATCTCTTTTATATTCAGATCACTGAGAGGCAAAATTTCTGGAATATATATTGATATTATGAATATCTGAATAAGATTCAGTTATGAAGTATAAAAAAATATAGACAGCATCAAATAACTAATTCCCAGAATTTAGAATTAGTAAAGCATACATTGGAAAGAATATTTCACTATTTCTTTAGAAGAAAGGAGTCACGCCTTGAACTCATTTCAGAGAGAAATGCTAATTTGTAATTCAAGCTGGACTACATTTAATAGCAGAAGGGGGATGACACATACCTTTTCTTTTAAGAGGACCAAGAACACTGGGCCTAATGCACTTGACTGGACTCTGGCTTCTCCTGCTTTAAAGAATAAACAAACAGGATGACATTAAAGTACTTTTGGCAAATCAATAAAATTGACAGATACATAGGGAGAAATGGACAACGTCTGTGATGTAGGTTGAGTACATGATCTGACCTGGCATATGACAATCTGGAATAACATGGCATTTTAAGCTATTTTAAAAACTCGTTTTCTGGGCTTCCCTGGTGGCGCAGTGGTTGAGAGTCCACCTGCCGATTCAGGGGATATGGGTTCGTGCCCCTGTCCGGGAAGATCCCACATGCCGTGGAGCGGCTGGGCCCATGAGCCATGGCTGCTGAGCCTGCGCGTCTGGAGCCTGTGCTCCGCAATGGGAGAGGCCACAACAGTGAGAGGCCTGGGTACAGAAAAAAAAAAAAAAAAAAAAAAAAAACTCGTTTTCTAAGACAAAATATCCACAACAGTTTAAAAAGAAAAAAGATAAACCTTATTAATAAGTTGTTTGGGATTTTGACTGGTCTACAATTAAAAAAAATGTTTTTTCCTTATCCTTATAAAGAATGTATTTTCAAGTGTGTGTGTCCCCTCTGAACATAAACTGTGTCCCCTCTGAACATAAACTGGCATAAGTCTCAAAAAAATAAATATGGTAAAATGTTAATGGTAGAATATATAGGTGGTAGGTATATGGATGTTCACTGTGAAATTCTTTCAGTTTTGCTGTTTGAAAATTTCCATAACAAAATGTTGGGGGAAAAGTTCACTGAAGAGACAAATTTAATGAACAGCCTTTCAACCACATTTAAAAAGCAGGTTTACTTACCTGGAAAAACGTCTTGGACTAGGAACGGGACTTGGTGGTAGCCCGCTGCTGCTCACAAACATTTGTAAGGATGGTGAAAAACACTGCTAGGGAAAAACATATTAAAATACTTCTAGAGCTCCAGTTTTCAAAAGGTTCTTATCAAAATGACAACAACAGCATCCTTCGAATTGCTTACCTGTCTGTCTCATACGTGTTTATGAGAGAATACATAGATAGATAGACAGATGGATAGATTGATAGATTTTTTTCAAATTACTACTATAGACTTTTATTAATTTTCCTTCCAGTCATTGAATTCATCAAAATTGAGGTGATGTGTGTGTGTGTGTGTGTGTGTGTGTGTGTGTGTGTGTGTATTTTAGAGAGTAAACAGGTCAGTGTGTGAAAGAGAGTTAATATCTTGTCAATGAACCTACCTTTCCAAATCCTCTGGTGGGTGATGGTGCTGGAGAAACCGGAGTGAAGTCAATCCTTTTAGGAGAATATAATTTCTCTGGCTTGTCAAAATCACTATCACTCTGTAAATACAAAGTGTTATTTCCTCATAATTCACAACTCAACACATCACAGTTCTTCTTTACTATACAAATAGGCCTACATTATTAAAGCAGAATGTATAGACTCTAAAAAGTTGCAATCTCATATTTTGGTGGGAAAGCAGAGATCAAAAACACTGAATTCAAATGTGGAAACAGGAGGGCAAGAGGTAATGAAAAAAATGAATGAAGCCAATGAACAATATAGCGGTTTTAGAAAATAAAATATAGGGTTTTAGAAAATAAAAAACAAGCAGATATGTGAAAACTTTACCAGGCTCAAGCTCTCATCCCATGATTGGCTTATCTGCATTGCAGTTTGCACTTCTCTAAAACAGACAAAAATGAATGGCCATTAGTGCTCGTAAACAAGACATACCTTTGGCCACACCCTGTTCTTGTGAGGCACTAACCTTTCATGTGCAGTTTCTCTGTTCATCATATCCATGCCTTCCTCCTGCAAAGGCAAACATGTGCTGAAAACATAAAATTTATCCACACAGTTCTCTATTTCAAAGAAAATGAAAAGGACTTTTCTGCCTCATTTGACATCATCACAGTACAGTGGGACTGACATTTTAAGACTGTCACCTGTGCCACATCTGTATTTTATCTGCCCACTCAGAAGAATTTGAACTCAGAAGAATTTGAGTGGCAGCCTGACTCATTTTTAATATCTAAATCTGAAAAATGAAAATAAAATCAAAACGTAAAAAGCAGAAAATTACAGATCTGAGCCAGTAAGTAAAATTTACCCTTTTGATTTGAAGCAGTCTGCTGCTAGGAATCCGATTAGGTGAGGGTGACAGCAACTGGAAAGAAAAAGTAAACATTTACTATTTTCTGAATCACAAAGCAGCGCCCTGCTGTCAGTGCCAGTGTACAACCTCTTCCTAGATAATTTTTCATATTCTTCTTAGAAATCGAGCTCTTTAAATCACTGAACATTAATGCACTAGAGAGGCAGTACATTCAGGTTTTTTTTTGATCACAATGTAATTGATAAAGAAATCTGGTTACAAGAATTATGACTGATTATAATTTTAACCCTTGAAAACCTTCATCTCTGGCAAAAGCCAAGAAGCAAGTAATTGTGCATTTCCTGGTTGGAAAACAATGCTTTAGTCTTCCTCTCCTAAGCAGGCAAAGGTAAGTAAACTGAGAGTCATTCAGCAACTAATGTTTCAACATTTTATCCTATTTGAAATGACCCACGAGTACATTCAGTCTTTAGAAAGTACACCAGGTGTCCAGCCTCAAAGCACCATCTGTTGCTAGACAGGCAGTGACTTTAACATTTTTCCCAAAATGAATGCAGAGCCGTGTACGTTTATGTAAAAAAAAGACTCCAGGTCTTAGAAATAGCCATTACCCCACTTATCTAAAATAAGGAACTCTATACGAAGGGAAAGCAAAAACACTGATTCTATTCATTTTTATTACCAATGCACTGACGGAGGAAGACAAGCAAATAAGCCCAATATAATATACTGTCTATGATTAATGTTTATCGAAAACACTTTAAAACTACAATAAGGAGATTTTACTTGCATGATCTAAGTCAATTCTAAAATTCGATCACTAATGCTATCACCACAAAGCTTACTAGTTCAGACAAAATTCAAGGTAGAGGCAAGGTGCATTTTTAAGATAACTGTTGCTTTCCCTTAGATCATTTTTTAATGACACAAAGATGAAATGATTTGGGGGCCAAATTATGTTCCTTCAAAATCATCATAATCTGATCATGAAATGTAAGGTACAATTTATATCATCTTACTCAGTTGCTGGTTGGCGGGGGGGAGAGGCTATAGCCATAATGTAAACAACTGCTATTTATTCCATGATGAAATGCAAATGAATCTGTAATACTATAAAACCAAATATGACAATTATCCTGCTACAAGAGACCCTATCCTATTCAAACTTTAAAAAATACTCATGTAGTGAGCAGTATAAAATGGTGATAAACTGCTCTAAGGTTTTTAGGCAAAAGCTAATTCTGGTGAAATTTTTTAAAAGTTATCCACTAAAATAAGATTTTACCTCAAAAGAGATCCCTTCATTTCCCACCCCTTTCTTTTACTTCTTCCTCTCCTAGGCTTTGAAACAAGAAAAACTTTACCAGTAAATTCCTTTCCCAAAGTATTTTTTTCCATTATGAAAGTAATATATGTTTGCTGGTGAACTCTTGATAAGGTCATTTGAAAAATGCTAAGCTACTAGGCAAGTAAATAAGGCAGGAAAGACTCCATCAGGATACTGTGGCAGAGAGCGTGAACATGTCAGTCAGGGAACAAAAGAAACCCCAAAGGCAACGAAATAATCAGGAAAGCCAAAGTACGGATTGCCAGAAGCTGACTGTGGAGAAAGCCACAAGCTTAGATGGTACATCTATATCACCCACAACTCGTCGATTTGAGACAGAACTGGAGAGTAGACCCGCAAGAGGGACAGAGAACAGCAGAGCTGTGTCCAGTACCAGCAACAAGAGCAATGGATGGGCTGAGCAAAAAGCCAAGAACCTCAAGGAGGCTCCAGTTAATGGTGTGAAATTAGAGCAAAGGGCTTAAATGGGACGAGAACAGAGGCCCCTGACACTGGGGACTTTAGCAGCATGGTTTTTAAATGGAGTTGTGGTAGATGTAGTGAGATTATAAACTGGCTGAATTGTTGGCAAGGAGTCAGAGGCAGTTGAGTGTGGATTAAACTTTGAAAAAGCTCGGAGAGGGGAAGGGAAAAAGGGAAAGACAGACGTATGAAAAAGAAGAGAAGCTTGTCTTCCAGATATGAGGTGTGTGAGCCGGGAGAAGGTGGGAGGGAAAGAA